GCCGCAGCCCATGTTAATCAAGTGCTAGTTTTATATGAAGTTACAAAGGAGGCATACAAAGATAACCTCCACCTTCACCTTCATCATTTCTCTTTCTCGTCTCTTTTCTTCTCCTCTTTCTCTTTTTTCGTTGTTTTTTTTTTGTTTTTTTGCATTTGTATACTTTTTTGTAGGTTCTTTTAAGGATTGACTTTTTCAATATTAATTAAGCCATAAACTTTAGATTGTCGACTTGACCATCAGGTCCTTTTTGTGGCCATTTCCAAGCGCCAAAGTGGGTATTTTCAGTGACAGCATGGATCTTGTTAGATTCTTATAATAATTTTGTATATAAAAAGACGACTTTATCAGTATTATACAAAGAGTAGCTGACCATCCATTATTATTATTCTTGCTTCTTTTTCCCTATTGTAATTGTCTCTTACTTGGATGCCCCCATCCCCTGCATTTGTTGTGGTAATCACTCTGTCCTGTATGTCTCTTTCCTTTTTCAATTATTGCTGCAATTGCAATAACAGGAAATGGTGAAATTAAATAAGAATTAATCAATTCTATTGTAATTTCACATTAACTCTTATTTTTACGTTTTTACAGCAAGATCATTGGAGCTAGGTCCTACTTGAAAGGTTATGAGCATGCATTGGGGGGGCGCCTTAATGACACATTGGACTACCGTTCGCCAGCGTGACAGTGGACGGCATGGCACCCACACAGGCATCAACGGTGGCTGGCCGCCGTGTCGCTAACGTTTCTGTTTTCGGGCTTGCACGTGGCCACTGCCTCCGGGGGCGCCCCGTTGGCCGCCTAGCCATATACAAGCCTGTTGGCTATCCTCAGCGAAGAGAAAGGTGGTTGGCACACTTCTTACAGAAGAATATGTTGGCGGGCATAGACGATGCCATTAGAGATGGAGTTGATGTGATGAGTATCTCAATTGGGTCCTCAAGACCTCTCGCTTTTGCTGAAGATGCTATAGCTAATGGTGCATTACATGCGGCCAAACAGAACATTGTGGTCGCTTGTGCACTGGAAATTCAGGTCCTGCCCCGGCTACATGTCCAACTATTATCCGTGATGATCACAGTTGGTGCTAGCTCCTTGGACCGTGATATCTTGAGGCCTCTCGTGTTAGGAAATGGCTTGACAATCGTGGTGATTAGCAATGTTTTCTATTGACTAAGTTTGATTCTTATGCTTTCATATCATGCTTTTCTTAACTTGATATATGCATTTTTTTAGGGAGAAACAACTCCTTACGGGTTGAGAAGAAACATCATTAGTATACGCACCAGATGTGGTTGTTCCTAGAGTTGCCAAGATGAATCGCGTAATCTTTCCTTTCCTGTATTGTTTGTAGATCTTTCAATACCATTGATGTCTGATAAAATATGTTTGATTGTGGTCCAGGCAATGCCTCCCGGGTTCTCTGATCCAAAAGGTAAAAGGAAAAGTGGTTTTGTGCATGAGAGTGCTTGAATGAGAGTTGGAAAGGGGAGAGAAGTGAAGAGGGCTGGAGGTGCAGTGTTATTAATAGGAAACACTGCAGCTTCTGGAGATGAACTCCCTTTGATTTTCATGTCCTTCCAGGAACTGCAGTGTCCTCCATGATGCCAATAAAATTATTCAATAATAAGCTACAGAATCCAACAGCGATTATCAATCGTGGAAAAACAGTGTTCAACTCTCAGCCTGCCCAATCCATGGCTTCTTTCACTAGTTAGGGGTCCTAATCCAATGATCCTAACTTCTCAAGGTAATAAAAGTTGGACATTGAATTGTGTTTTAAGTTGATGTACTCTTTATCTGTTAATTTTCGTTTCTCTGTGACGAATCCTCCACGGCTCCGGATTGAATATATGGCAGCATGGAGCGAGGGAGATTCAGTTACAAAATTATCTTTCGATAACGATTTGTTCAAGTATAATTTTGATTCAGGAACTTCTATGCTTACCCACTCATGTGCTGCTGTTTGCTGGCATTCTCAAACTGTCATTCCCGAATGGAGCAGTGCCGCTGTAAGATCTGCCATCATGACCACGGTAATTTACACACTTATCACATTAATAGATTTCTCATGTGAACCAAACTATGTTTAACTCTAAAATGGCCAATTAATGTTCGCGAATGATAGAAACAACGAGGGCAAGCCATAACAGATCAACTGGGCAAATTCGCAACTCCTTTTATGTTGATCAGGCCATTTTCGTCCTAAAAAGCAGTAGACACCCTGGTCTTGTATACGATGCTTACACGAAACTACCTTCTGTACCTTTGCAGCTCGGAACAGATAAACCAGAACCAAATTCAGTGTCCACAAAATCACCATCACCATCAACCTCATTATCCATCATTGCTATTCCCTAAACTCAATGGCACTGTGATTTACAAGGACAGTCATAATGTTGGTGGTAATGGCAGAGTGTCTCACTTCTTTAGTTCAAAACCACCGTTGGGAATCTCTGTTAAGGCCACTTCGAGTGTGCTGTTCTTCAACCATTCGGCCAGAAAAAGAGCTTTACTTTAAAGTGAAGCAGAGTGGAATGGCGAGAAAGTATCTCAAAAATGAGTATGCTTTGGGGGTACTCGGGAATGATGGTACTCACAATGTAGAAGTCCCATGGCTATAGCTTTAGCATAAAGTAGCTTTTTTTTTAAATTGTTTACCGTAATTGTCCAAATTAGAGAAAACAAGGAAGTATGGTGCCCTTTCAAAGTAAAATTCTGACATCTTATGTAATTTTTGGGGCTTTCATAACAAAATGTTCTCAACTTTTTTTTTAAAATTAAATATATGGAACAAATCATACTACAAAGATACAAAAACATACCCCAAGCAAAAGACCAAAAGTCTAACAAACATGAAAAAATCACAAAAGCCACAAACTGAACAAAAGAGCACAGCAAGCTTCTCACAAACAAAAAAAAAAAAAAAAAAAAAAAAAAAAAAGAAGGTAGTCAACCAAGTACCATCACATATAACCAATCCAATATCTCTATGAGAGCTGCAATGTTAATGGAAAACACAACCCCTAAAATACATTCTCGAGATATAAAGGACCCTAGGATACACTAGTAATTGGTATAAGTCATATCTTAAATATAACTTTATTTCGTTGTGATTACATTACTCCTCCGAAATTTCTTTACATATTCCCTTTACCAGGGCAGAAAAAGTTGAAACTTCTTGTGAAAGAGGCTGCTACTCTTCAGGTTTACAGACAAGGAATCTCCTGAGACCAGATAATATTTCTTACAGAGAAAGTCGTGGGTATTAAAGAGATTTCAAGTTAAATTTCAAACAGTAGCAACAGCTAGGTTTCCAAAATTTGCCCTGTCAAATCCGAAGAAAAGATGGTAGGAAATAGAAAGCCCCTAGTGCTTCAATTTGTCGAATCATTGTAATCCCATACATCTCTTCTCACTTTCACTCTTTCCCCTTTAAAGTGTATGTACTTCCATCTACAGTGGTATTTTTCAAGAACCAACTTCCGTTTCTCTTCTTCACCTAGTTTTTGAAAGGCAAGAGCAACCCTCTGGACAGTATCTTCATCTGGTTTTACACCCAGCTCCTCCATGTCTGCAAATACCTGCATGTACCAAGAAAGTATACTTCATACCATAGATGTGATTTCTTGTGTACCAAAGCAAAAGCCCAAAAATTTGTAATGAGAACCTAGGAACAGGAGAATTAATTTCATTTAAAGAAGTGTGGGATGCAATTGCACCCATTTTAATTACATCTATAATCTTATCTTGCATGTCATGATGATCATATAAAGTGTGGATTGGACACTTTCTACAGAAGGTGTGTTTTTCTTAGCTTAAATTTTTAGCAGCTCTGCCCATTGTAAATATTATTTAAGAAAATTTAGCTGGCCGGTCATCCCAAGTTTGGATTTAAGAAAATGGCCATGAAACTGTTTATAAATTTTTTTTAATTTAGAGAAGATGACGTGGCATAGTTAGGATTAATTAAACACGTAAAATGGGTTAAAATGAAAAGATTAAAACATATGTGGGCCGAATAGAAATAATGAAAGTTTTTAAAAATTGAAATTTCGCAAAACAAGCCCCACAAACTATTCACCTCGCTTAATCGAAATTCATCAGTTCAAAAAGCGATTTGTTGAANTTAATAAAGGTAGTTACTAGAGTTCTTATCTGACCCTTAATTTCAAGATCCTGAGAGATTAGTAAAAATATGCACGAACTAACCCGAACACCCATAATCATAAAAATATATATATATATTTCATATTTTTACACATAAAATCCACCTCAATTCAACCTACAATACGATATACAATCTCCATAAAGTTCAAATGCATGCGAAACAAAGTTATGTTTTGATAATATTAGAGTTTAAAATTAAAAATCATACATTTTTTTTATTAATAACAAATTAGAGCTTAAAATATAATTTAACAATCATAACTAGTAAAAGATATTCTTTTTTTATTTTTTTATTTTTTTATTTTTTTTTATTTTTTGTTTGAAATGGTAACCGGCCAATGTTAAACAATCCAAAGAAATAAAAAAAAAAGATGAAGTTAGGGTTTCATTGGTACTGCACAATGCAATCGAATATAAAAGAATGATTTAACCTAAATACAAAGAAACTATACATAAGCTAAACAAAGGAAACTGAAAAGACAGAGAAATAATGAAAATACTATTCTACCCTTAATAAACAATAAAACAAAATAACCTTATATTTCTTAACAGCCAACTCTTTGGTATAACTTAAATTCAAGACCGGATTCCACAAATGGGTGGTTGATATTGTAATTTTAATAACCAGGAACAAAAAGAAGTTACGTAACAATACTACAATAGGAAACCTACTTATAATTTTTCTAAAAGAAATCAATGGATCACAGTGGGAAATTGTTTCAGTTTTGTTTTTTTTTTTTGGCATTTCGGTATGCAAAATTTGCTTTAATCTCAAATATAAATACGCCATGATCATTACAAGTTAATTCACCCTTACGATTACAACCATGGGGAGTGTCTTTGCATATCTTCTGTGTCTTCTCCCTCTGTTAGTCTTATGTGCTGATCAAAAACAGGTTAATTTCACTCACATTACTATTGCATCTCTTTAGTTCATTTTGAGAAAAAGAATTTTAATGAATGTTAATTCATATGAATAATAAATATGATTTGAATCAATCACAGGTCTATATAGTGCGCATTCGTGAACAAAAATCATTGCATGAGATAGAGGACACCCACCACTCATATTTGCTCTCTGTGAAAAACGACGAGGGAGAAGCTAAGGCTTCTCGTCTTTACAGTTACAAATACAGCTTCAATGGCTTCGCGGCAGAGCTCACCCCTGACGAGGCTTCCAAGCTTTCTGGTAAACAAAACCAGACCATCATCTTTCTCAAAGCTCTTAGTTTGAACTCATATATAACAAGTATGTTTAATTATATTGGACAGAAATTGAAGGAGTGGCATCAGTGTATAAAAGCGACCCACAGAAGTACAAGTTGCTGACTACAAGATCATGGGAATTCGTAGGCTTACCCGATGATGGTGTTGATCCAATCCCAAATAAGAAAAACATCTTAAACAACAAACGATGATGCCAAGATATCATGTGGGGTCGTGGATACGGTACGTAAAAAGCTAATATCAACATATATTTCAAAGAAAGTCTATAATATTAAGGTGTTATTATTTTATTTTATTTTTATTGTAAGTAAATAGTATCATAAGAAGAGAGAAAGAATGTACAGCGGAGTCATAAAAAAATCGACATCCTACCTAGGACATATCCTAAGTTAAGAACAAAATATAAACCTAAAAGACTGAGAACCTAAACTCCTCTTATTTATCTATCTAAATACGTTAAGGATATGAGACAAGAGGAGAAGAGTAGCAAAGAACACAAATACAAGACATCCTATCACATAACATACCCAGGGATAAGATCAAAAAAAAAAAAAAAAAAAAAAAGACCGAAGTTCGTGGCATGTTGGTGTATTACAAAGTTATTACTAACGTACAATTACAAAGACAGTGCATGCATATCAAACACATAATTTAAAGATATAAAAGAGAAAAAATTCAAAATGACATAATTCATAAAGGTTGTAATTTCCAATAATATCCTGAATTTTTCATATTAAAACAAACATTATCGTCTTTGTTTTCATATGATATTCCTCATTTGACTCGGATCCCTGCTTAGTTTTCTCGGAAACTTGATAATGTTGATTTTTTATTAGGTATATGGCCAGAATCAAAGAGTTTTAGTGACCAAGACATGAAACCCGCTTCACCAATATTCGGGGAGAGTCTGTCAAGCTGGCATTTACTATGACAGATTCCATTGTAGTAAGTAAGTGATTTTTCTACTTTCCATGATAATCTGTAATTATATACCTTTTATTTCTATGAGATCTTGTATAACTGTTACACAGTGATTACATTTCAATGAATTAGCTTAAATCCGTCATGATTATAATTAATCTTGAATTACTCTATTAACGTTTTATAGCAAGATCGTTGGAGCAAGGTACTACTTGAAAGGTTATGAGAAACACTACGGGCGCCTCAACGAGACGTTGGAATCCCGTTCGCCACGTGACATGATTGGCCAGGCACTCACACAGCGTCCACGGTGGCCGGCCGCCAAGTTGTGAAGCTTCTCTAATGGGGTTAGCAGGTGGCGCAGCCACCGGCGGGGCGTCATTGGCCCGCCTAGCCATCTATAAGTATGTTGGTTAGTCCCTAACAGAGAGAATTCCGGGAGAATGCTGTTTTGAGGAAGATATACTGCAGCCATAGATGCCATTGGTGATAAAGTGAGTGCTGAGTATCTCCTTGGCCTTGGGAGTTCACAACCTCTTCCTATAGAGAAAGATCCTATAGCAATTGGAGCTTTAATGGCGGTGAAAAACAATTTTGGTCGCATGTGCAGCTGGAAATGCAGGTCAGCCTGGGAAACGTGTCAATTACCACGTGGTTATAACAGTTGCTGCTAGCTCCATCGATCGTGATTTTCTTCGGCTGTTATTCTGGCAAATGGCGTCGCAGTTATAGTAAAGATTTAAATTATTTTAACTTGTTGCGATTGCTTGATTCTTGTTCATGGTTGTGTTTGTTTTAATTATTCTTTTCTTTTGGAACGAATTATTAGGGACGAACGGCCACTCCTAATTACGAGCTTGATGATCAAAATAGAACACTAGTATATGCAGCAGATGTGGTTGTTCCCGGAGTTGACAAGATTTAGCAGCGTAATTTTTACACCTATTTTATTAGTTCAAATTAAATTTTGTCAACACTATGTAATACAATTGTTTATTAATAAATATTGCAGAAATTGCCTCCCTGGTTCTCTTGCACCTGAGAAAGTAAAGGAAATATAGTGGTGTGCATGGTAGGGACTATAGAATCGGAATTGCGCAGGGGATGGAAGTGAAGAGAGCGGGAGGTGTAGGTTAATTTTAGGAAACCTTCCAGTAATGGGAGATAGAGCAGTATACGACACTCATGTTCTTCCACAACTGAAGTCTCCTCCTCCGATGTGCTTAAAATTATTCAATACATCAAGTCTACCAAGAATCCACAGGCAGTTTTATTCAATAAAACAGGACAATGTTATACGGGTAGCACCCAACGTGACTTCCTTCTCTAGCAGAGGACTAATCCTTTGATCCTAATATTCAAGGTAATATAACTTCGGAAACTGGCTTTGCTTATATCTATTTTACACTGTTAAGATTCACTCTTTGTTTCAATATATCTCTCATTTTATTTTTTCTTTTACAGACTGACATCACGGCTCCAGGATTGAATATATTGGCAGCGTGGAGCGAGGGGACATCAGTTTCAGGAGATGTATTTGATAACCGTAATGTCACTTATAATTTACAATCAGGAACTTCTATGGCTGCCCCTCATATTGCTGCTTCAGCCACACTTATTAAAGCTTTGCATCCTGATTGGAGTAGTGCCGCCATAAGATCCGCCATTATGACCACAGGTAAACTTTAAGAGAAAACAGCTTAATTATACGAAAATAGTCATTTCGCGGATGTTTTACATTAAAATGATACATCTTATCTTGCAGCCTCAACGATAAACAACCAAGGCTCGTCAATAACTGATGAACATGGCAATCTTGCCAGTCCTTTTATGATGGGATGCGGGCAGTTCCGTCCTGTAGAGGCAGCAGACCCTGGTCTTATATACGACGCCTCATATGATGACTACCTTCATTACATTTGCAACCTCGGCGGATCCACTGAAGCAATTGATCCATCATATAAGTGTCCACAAGAACCATTGTTCAACCTCAATTATCCATCACTTGCTATTCGTGGTCTTACAGGCACTGCAGTTGTTAACAGGAGAGTTACTCATGTTGGCAGTGTTGCCAACACTGTGTACAACTTCATTGCGAAACCACCAAAGGGAATCACTGTAGATGCCACTCCAAATGTTTTGCAATTTCAGCAAGTTGGCCAGATTTTAAGCTTCACCCTTACAATAAGAGCGGTAGCTGGAAGCGAGTATCTGAAATCTTACTATGGCTTTGGCTCGTACTCTTGGACTAGTGGTAATCTAAGTGTTGTAAGTCCCATGGCAATATCTTTAAAATAATTTTTCTTACAGAAGCATAGAGACGTATGAAACCTTTAAAGGTTGGAATAATTTTAAGTAGAGGTATGGGTAAATGTATTCTTCTTTCGTATATTTGAAAAATAAATAATAGTATAATTATAAATTTTTATACAAACTAATATATTATAGTATTTAGTAGATTATTTAAAACTATATATATATATAATGAGTAATGACATTTATAATTAAATTATAAGTATACAACACACAAATCAAACATCAAAACTAGTCGAAATAGTTCTAAAAGTTCTAAACATAATATATATATATATATATATAGCAACCCACTTTCCTGACCTTCTAGGTAAATCATGGGTTGAGGCTATAGACAATCCTCGTCTTATCATTGGACTGCCTATTAACAAACTTCTTGGCGAAAAGTTTCAGTTAAGAGTTCTTTTTCCTTGAAATGGTGTATGGTGATAACAATAAGCAAATGTGTTGATAAGATTGTACTTGATTCATTAGCTGTAAGCTGTTCACAACAATTTCGCGATTGGAATATATAATGCATATTGACACTATAATAAATTTTCCCAAAACTGATATTTTTCTTGCTGAGTAATGGTTATTTTCAACAGCTGGGCACTATGAGGAATATTTACAAGTCTTCGTTCTGGTTTTCAGCATTCTTTGTTTAGGCATTAATTATATATTACCTTTATTTGCATGACATTATACTATAGATGTTAATAGCCAGAAAAGTATCTGTCTCCAAAACAGTAGAATCTGTATAGCATTTTGGTGTATGGCTGGCTATAATATGTAGCGATAGAGTAAACCAATTTCCAAAATGGAACAGCCCACGGTTTTGACAATTTGAAGGGGTTTGTTTTTTTGTTCTTTTGCCGTTAGATATTCTATCATCCCTTGTCTTATATATATATGTATACATTATAACGTATGCATCTAAAAGAATAAAGAGGTTTACATTTATGTCAATGGCATGAAAGATACAGCTAATAAAGAAGAACATGAAGACAGATGAGTTGAAAAAGAGAGGAGGTGTCTTGATACGTCGGATAAGTAGCGATTTATATATATATAGTGACTACTAAATCCATATAACGCATGGAATTTGCTAGTTGCTCTCAACTCTCAACGTAGATGTTGGACCAAACCTATTATCCCAATTTAGCATTTTAATTATGTCATTGCTCATAATATTAAAAAAAAAAAAATCCACAAAATGCATCCAATTAATATGTAATCTTTTACATCAATGACTATATATATAACAATGTCGAAATCAGACGGAATATAAATTTGAATAATAAAATAGTATTTTAAAAGTCTATAGCTAGGAGAGTGTCATTGAGTCATTGTTTGGGTAGGGATTAGCTAATATTATAGGCAAAGTGTTAGAGACATATCATACATAATATCTGGGGACTTGGGATAAGGACCTAAGCAATTAATTTGACATTATATAAACAGTTGCGCATAGGGTCAAAGCAAAATATCTGGTTCACGCCTTAGATTCGATCTGTTGTCGTTTCTAAGCCACCATTGGACCTAGACCCTCAAATTAATCAACGTTACATAGATGATGGGATAGGATTCTTTTCTTTTACAAACATTATCCTGAATTGATTTCTCTTTAAAGTTGACATGTTTTACTCCTATTGCCATGTTTTGCTTGTTTTGCTCTCATTTTTTATAGTAGACCCTCTTAACTCTATCAACACAATAGCAATTGGATTGGACCAATCAGAGGGACACTTCACGACAGTTGTTTTTTTTATTAATAATTTGAAAAACTTTTTAATTTTCTTTAAATAGAAGTCCCATTGCCAAATTTAATTATATAATGATAATAATCTAAGCTCATGTATTTTTCTTTTTTAAGGTATCAAGACTCACATGAGAGACTGTTTAATCCTCAGGATAACGGAATACCCTATAAGATCATACTTGTTTTTTGACATCCTTTGTGGATCATAATATAATTTACATACACTTAATTTTAACGGTAAAAGACCACAAATATCGGTGATTGATTCCTTCTCCAATCATGAGTTTGGACCAAGTTTATCTCTTTATCTTGTTGGTGTTTATATCAATCTCTTGATTAGCCAAACCATATTTAAAAATTGAAATCTAAAACAGAAATATCCCATTATCATTGTGTGCAGTCCACACAAAACTCTTTATTTTATTAAATAGATGTTTAATTAATAACCCATACATATTTTTTGAATAATTATTTTATAATTGTACCTAACTTAACGCTTTAAGGATGGTAAATTGGTAATGAGTGTAGTCGTCCAACACATGAGAAGTTATGTAATCTTAGAATTAATCCTATGTCATATACACTGACCTTAACATTTTTAACTAACTTTGAAAGGACCCTTCGCGGTACCAACTACTTCTGGGTGGCCGAGTGATTCAATAGGGACTATTGGGTGTATTGTTCAAGAGAGTTCTTATCCGATCGATACCTTCAGGGTTTTAGGAGACTAGTTGAGATACGCGTAAGTTGACCTGAATACCCCTGATCATGCTACCCTTGGTCATTAAAAAAAAAAAAAAATTAGCCATACCCTACCAAATAAAAGGAGGACCGTTTTGAATTTTTTGAATTGTTAAGATATACTTTACGCAAGTGTAAATACTCATCATTAGAACTACAAGATATATAATTACAATATATATCACCTATAATGGTAAGAATATAACATATTGATTCATTATTGGAGGTAAGATTAGCAAACATTATATATAAAGTGTTAAAGACATATCATATATAATGCCTGGGGACTTGGGATAAGGACCTATTGTAAACTAAGCCTAATTTCTCAAACCTAAACACTAATTACTCAAACACAAACCAACAGTAAAGAATCAAGAATCAACACCACAATATACCATGGTCCACTTGTTTAACATCAAACAAGCTACGTCCATAGTGAGCTCCAGAATATGGAGACTCGCTGCACTATAATTAAAGCCTCAATGTTACAGATTACAATCAAACCACACTCACTGCAATCAACACAATCATTCACTCACCTTTCCCTTTTTTCACCGCAAACCTGAATAATCACTAGAGAACTCACTACCCTTGAAGGAAGTCACAACCCTCAACAAGACTCTAGGAAGATTCACACAAGAAGAACAATCGAGTGACAAGCCCTAACAACTAGGTTACAATCGCGTTCTACAGAGAGAAGAAAAATTGAGAATGTTGCTTAAAATGACAAATAAGAGGTTCTTTTATACCTTTGATTGCTGAGTGAACTGGAGCCGTCAGATCTTGCATTCATCGAAGGGCTGAGATTAATTTGAGTTTACTGAACAAAACGGCAACGTTTCACTTGGCTTTAAACGGTGTCGCAGACTTCACCATTTAACAATCTCCACCTTGAAGTCTGTGGCTGTTTCTCTAGCAGAATCTTCTTCAGAGTAGCAAGTATTTTCCATATTTCTTCTTAGCTTTAATTGGTTATTCCACATGCAATAAGTTCAAGCAATGCTTGAACTTTGTAAGTGTTACAACCTTTGTTCCCATGTCTGCAGGGTTATTTTCAGTGGGGATCTTCATAAGGCTCATCTCTCTTTTTGAGATCATATCCCTTACAAAATGGTATCTTACATCTACGTGTTTATCCTTTCATGGTATACGAGATTCTTTCCCAAGTGAATGACACTCTGACTGTCTGAATAGATAGTCACTATTCCATTCAGTAGCTTGGCCTCTCTTAAGAATCATTAAAGCCATATGACTTCTTTGAATGCATCGATTACAACCACATATTCTGCTTTAGTTGTGGACAGTGCTACCAGTGGCTATAACTAAGACTTCCAGCTGATACAGTTTCCTCCCAAGGTAAAATGGAAGGCTGTTGTGGACTTCCTTGAATCCCTATCACCTGCAAAATCAGAGTTTACATACCCAACAAGATCAAGTGAGGAGTTTCTTTTACAGAAATTCAAACCAACATGCACAGTGCTTCTAATGTATCTAAGTAGCCATTTTAAAGCACTTCAGTGTTCACATCCAGGGTTTGACATGAACCTACTTAACAGGGATATTGAATAGGATAAGTTAGGTCTTGTACTAATCATAGCATACATGATAGAGTCTATTGCATTTGCATACGGTATAGATTCCATCTTTAACATTTCAGCTTCAGTTTTTGGGCTTTGAGCCTTACTAAGGATGAAATGGCTAGCTAGGGGCATGGTGGCACATTTAGAGTCATTTATTCCAAACTTTAGCACTAGTTTCTGTAGGTAAGGCAATTGATGGAGTTTTAAGCTATAATTTTTCTTGTTTCTTTCTATTAGCATTACTAATATCTTCTTTGTACAGCATGTCAAATTTAGCATTCGATTTTCCCTTCAATTCATCAATATGGGCCTTGGATTTACTAATTAATAGCATGTCATCAACATACAAGAGCAAATAAATAGGATTGTTATCAAAATATGCAAAATAGAAACAGTTATCATAATCACTCCTAGTGAAACCTATACCCACTATGAAAGAGTCAAACCTCTTGTACCATTGCCTAGGTGATTGTTTCAGTACATACAAAGATTTATGCAACAAACATACATGGTTAGGAAGGTATTTATCCCTAAACCCTATAGGTTGACTCATATAAATCTGCTCTTCTAATGCCCCATGCAAAAATGCAGTTTTTACATCTAACTGCTCTAACTTTAGATCGTAATGTGCTACTATAGATAACATCAACCTTATAGTTTTAAATTTAACAACAGGTGAGAAATTTTCAATAAAGTCGATATATGCCCTTTGTGTGTAGCCTTTGACCACCAACCTAGCCTTATATCTTGGTGGGTCAGTCTTGTTGATGCCCTCATTCAGCTTATATAGCCATTTGCATTCCACTAGCCTTTGACCACCAACCTAGCTGTATCCTCAATGTCCAGACACAACACTATGAGATCAAAACTAGTGTCATCCAATTGTTGTCAATTTAACATGAGAATTTAAATGAGGAGCCATA